GTGTGTGTAGTGCTGTGTGTTCAGTGCAGCGCTGGGTGTGTGTGTAGTGCAGTGTGTTCAGTGCAGCGCGCGGGGTGTGTGTGTAGTGCTGTGTGTTCAGTGCGGCGCTGGGTGTGTGTGTGTGTGTGTGTGTGTGTGTGTGTGTGTGTGTGTGTGTAAAACAATAGAATCCCCGGGCCGGACTAACTCGTTCTTTGTGGGGGGGGCAGCGCCCCAAGATCTACATATGGTCGGGTCAGTCCTGCTCCCTGCAGGCCGATTCACTTCCCCCCCTTCTGCTCCCCTCACTGCTCCTCTGGCCAGCCCCACTTCCCCCAACACCCTCCCGGGCAGCCAGTTCTCCTCTGCTTCTCCTACCAATCTCCCTTGGCCAGCCTCGCTGCCTGCGTCCAGCTCTCCAAGTTACGAACAAGTTATAGACCAACACTTGGTCCGTAACTCGAAATGTTCGTAACTCTGATCCCATAGAGTTACATGGCGACCGCGCTGTTCATAAGCGCGGATTGCCGCTCATAACTCGAATCTGCATTTACAGCCGCTTTGGTCATAAGTGTGGATGGTCGTAAGTGGAGGTGGTCGTAACTCGGGGAGCGGCTGTATAAAAAGCACAGAGTAGACAGCAAGCTCTTTGGAGCATGATCTTTACTTTCATTATCTCAGTGACTTTGAACCTTTCCAGACTTCTGTACCCCTTTTAGGAGTCTAAGTTGTCTTGAGTACCCCAATCTGCACCTCACTTAAAAACTTAAATGGCTTACAAAATCACACAAAAATACAAAAGCATCACAGCTATGCTATTAGGGATGTTAAATTTATATTAATTGGCTAATCAAATAGTTGATTCAATTTGCATCAACTATTCAATTAGTTGATAAAGGCATCTGCCTTTGAAGTGCAGCAACAGCCCCAGGGCGAAAGCGCTGCAGGGAGCACGGGCTCAGGAGGGGAGTCCCCAGCTGACTATGGGCTCTGTGCGGCACTGACACTTTGAAACGCCGCATGCAGTCCGGGGCCAGCTGGGGACTCCCCACGTGGCCTGGGGCTGCACGTGGCATTTCGAAGTGCCAGCCCTGCTTGGCGCCCAGGGTCTGGCCCCAGGCTCCACATAGTGCTGCCACTTTGAAGTATGTGCTTATCGGATAGTCAACCAGCCATTCACATCCCTATCGTGCTAGTACTGAAAAATTGCTGACTTTCTCATTTTTACCATATAATTATAAAATCAACTGGAATATAAATATTGTTCTTACATTAAAATGCATAGTAATTAGTGCAGTATAAAGAAGTCATTGTCTGTATAAAATTTTAGTTTGTACTCACTGTGCTAGTGCTTTGTATGTAGCCTGTTGTAAAAGAAGGCAAATAGCAAGATAAGTTGATGTACATACACCCTGGAAGACCTCTGCATACCTCCCAAGGATACATGTTCCCCTAGCTGAGAACCACTGAGCTATCTTATCATGTTTTGCTGACACATGAATAACTTTTATGTACAAGTTTCTTTGTCTCTGAATTTGGGCACTTTGGAATTGAGAGATGTCTTTTTAGATTCGATGCATGCTTACATGTGCTTTTCACAGTGGAAAAGTGGATGGTATTTAAAGACCAGAAATTTGTCCACTTGTTTCATTGTTAAATGTACATTTGTTTGGTCTTTCACAGGTGTCTCCACATCAGCGATTAAAGTTGCCTCCACCAGACTGCCTTCTCCAAAAAGCTTGGTGGGAACCCCAACTCAGATTCTAACACAATTTCCCAAACAACAACAGCAGACCCCAAAACAACAATTGCATCAAATACAGCAGACCCAACAGCAGCTATCACAGTCTTCTCCTATAGCACATCAGCAGCAACCACAACAATGTCAGTTGCCAGCTGGCATCAAGCCCACCATTCAGATCAAACAAGAATCAGGTATCTGGAATCAGTCTTGTGCGATATTAGTAATGAGTGAAGTCTACCTGCCATACAGGAGTTAAGGGCCAAATTCTGCCCTGAAAAGTGCAGGCAGTCCTCTTTGACTTCAGTAGCTCTGAAAGTAGAAACAATGGTTAACAGAGGATGTAGAGGTAGTAATTTTAGTTTACACATCTGGAAAAGTGCTTCTGATTTTTTTCTGTTCTCCTGGCAGAAAAGAGAATGAACCTCGTAATAAGTAGGAAGTTTTATTCCTAACTTTAGAGATTACAAAAGTATAAGCATCCCCTTCTAGATTATAGGGTGGTTGGCAACATGGAATGAGCCAATTTTTTTGAAGATTTAACATTTGGGCAATTCAGTAACATTTCAGCTATATCTCTTAAACTAAAGGTAATCCATCCACCCATCTCTTACAGCTATTATTGGATTCAAAAATCAAAAATGCAACATTGACTTTTGTCATAGCAAATGCAGTACTTAGAACTAAAAGTTGGACTGATTCTGTTTCAAATACTGATTCCTTTGGTATAGTCAGTTCTGTGGCTGGCTCTAATTAATTCAGTTGACTCTGAGCATGTTGCTTGGTCTCTATGCATCAGTTTGATCTGTTTGTTTAGTTTATTAATACCTACCTGAAGGGGTGTTCAGAAGTAATGTTTGAAAGCACTTCTAAAATTTTTAGGGAAAGTGTTATAAAAGTGCAGAGTATTATTCTATCCTTGTATGTTTTATATTAATGCACATGAAATCAGCATTAATTCAGGGAACATGTACTTTTTTCAGTTCTAAACATTTTAGTTAGAGAAACTTAAAAAAAAACAAAAAAAAGGCTGCCGGGTGATGGTGGGAGTCTGTGATAAAATGTCGCATGCATTATGAGACCATCCCTTCATAGAAACTCCATTAAGAAACACTATAAAATGTCTCCACCTTAAAGTCATTGCTCACAACTTAATTGGCAACTGTCATTTTTTGCATCTGGTCTATACAAAGAACTGATACAGAAAGAATAGCAAGTACAAAAGTTCACATTTTTAAATAGTTGCATTGTCTTCTGCTTCATTCTTTGCCTTGTACTATGTTTTTAAACTCAAGTTGGTTATTACCTTGTAAAATAGTCATTTAGTCACCTTTACCTTACCTACTAATACTTATTTGCTCTGGAAAGCAAAGGTCAGATAATTTGTAACTGAAATTTTGCTTTTTATCTAGTTTTCCCTCTGGATTGACACAAGGAGCATCAGATAGCTTAGCACAGATTAGAACTCAGGACCCATTTGGTTTGGATACACTCTTGGTCTAACTTCTAGATCATGATTTCTTGAAACCTTTGGTTGTATCCCAAAAGTGAAAAAAGATGTTTGCTGGGTCATGCCTCACAAAGTTAGGAGTGGGAAAGAGAAGACAAATCTTCCTGAACAGAAGAGCCTGCTAGAATGAAAGAGAAGGGACTTATACACTCCCTCACACTATCTCTGGTCAGCTCCATCCCATCCAAATTCCATTACAGTTCCAAGACAGCACTAGTTCAAGAGATGAGTTCAGGAGGAGAGGCAGAAGGATCCTCACACCTAGCTCCTGAATCCAGTGTCACTATCACCCCCTTGCTCCCACAGCATTCTCATTTTATCTATTTTTTTATTATCAAATTGAAATTTAACAATTCATAATAAAATATGTGATAATGAAGAGACTTAACTGACAAATGTATGAATGCATTTTTTAAATATTTCACTGATTTTGGACCAACTTGATATTGATTAGCATAGTTTGTTCTGGGACCAAAGAAGGTTAAAAACCTCTGTACTAGATCCCGTGACTTAATGGTGTTCCAAGCACCAGAGGTGATCAGAGTAGTAAGGAAGTGGTAGAAAGCACGTGAAAAGTGAAAGTGGTAGTTGTCTTGGTGCTAGCAAAAAATGTAAATATTTTAAGGATCAGAAATAGATTGGCTCAAAAATAAAAGCCTTGTGCAGCTACTTGCCCATTAAAGTTTGGTCTGGGAAAACATTTCTGCAAGTTACTTTTTGTGTCTGTTTGTTAAGTGACCTTTTTCCTTTCCTAGGTGTTAAAATAATCACTCAACAAGTGCAGCCCAGTAAAATCCTACCCAAACCAGTTACAGCGACTTTGCCCAGCAGTAGCAATTCACCTATTATGGTGGTTAGCAGTAATGGGACTATCATGACAACTAAACTGGTCACTACTCCCACTGGTAAGTTACTGTTCTTAGAAGGGAAGGGAGGGGTAAACCTTCCAATACTGATGATAAACCCTGTTTTACAGGTTAAATAACATTTTGTTCATGGTGTATTAAAAAAAGGGTACAACAGCAAATTCATAAACCTTTTGATAGTCACATAGTAGGTTAGGACTTTTATCCTCGTAGAATTTAACGTGTATTATAAACTCTTGCGTTTACCATTGAGTGGTCTTCTATCTCTCTTGTACTCTCTTTGACTTGGAACACATAAGTATAATTATTCCTTTCCCACTGGTTGAGAGAGAAATATCACTGAAAATGATGATGATACTTTGCACTTCTATAGCACCTTGTATTAAAGGATGACAAACCAATGAATTAAGCCTCTCAACAACCCTTAAAGGTAGGTAAATATAATTATTCCTGTATTATGAATGGAGGAATTTAGAGACAGTTAACTTGCTTAGGGTCTCTCAGTAATTGCATAGAGGAGCCAGGAATAGAACCCAGATAGCTGAACTCTATGCTTTGTGTTTACTGATATAGAGAGGAAGTGTGTCTGCTGGTAATTTTACAGACTGATCTATTATGCTGGTATTGGATGTCTAGAGAAGACTTGGGGGGCAAGACTCATAAGGGTATGTCTACACTGCAGAGTTTGTTCCGAAAAAAACTTCACTTAAGTCCATGCTGCAATCGCGTTCTTTTGAAAAAAAAGTCGAAAACAGAGGGGTTTTTCCGACATTGGTAAACCTCTTCCTACGAGGAAGAAGCCTTTTTCCGAAAGAGCTCTTTCGGAAAAAAGGCATGTGTGGACAGGGAAGAGGGTGTTCTTTCGAAAGAAGAGGAAAAAGCTCTGGTGGCCACTCTGTCCATAGTAATCACAGATTAAATGCAAGATAGTATCCACACTGAATGGACGCTATCTTTCGAAAAAGCAGGTCACTTTTTCGATGCACTTGAGCAGTGTGGACGCTCTCAGACGAAGTTTTTTCAGAAGATCTCTTCCAAAAAATCTTCTTCTGAAAAAAGCCTGCAGTCTAGACATAGCCTGAATGTCTTTAAAGTTTGGTCAAAATTCATTGCTTTGCTGAGTGCCCTACATATGTTGGGATAGGTGGTATAAATCTGTGCATAACTCAATGTTTATCCTAGCTTTTCAATTCAACTCTAAATTCTTTAACCAGATAAAACATTATCCTGATATATTTTAAACAAGTGAAAGTTAGTGTTTGGAATATAAACTTTTTGTGAGGAATTTTTTCCCCGATGTTTACCAATGTTTCATTGGTAAACCTTGACTAGCCATTTACTTTCTCTCTTCATGCCAGTTTTGAATAGTAGGTTTCCCCATTAAATTTAGCTATTTTGTATAATTGTCTTTAGTAACGGAGAAGAGGTCTATAGTGCTTAGTGTACAGTATGTGCAGAAGAACAATTAGGCTTTGTCTATGCTGCTGGCTTTTGCCAGCAGAGACTATGCAAATGAAGCGCTGATTAGCATTTTAGCGTGCTTCATTTACATTATCTATTCGAGCCGTTTTTGCGCAAGGGGTTTTTGCACAAAAGCAAGCAGTGTGGACGTTTCCTTTTTGCTCAAAAACCGTTTTTTGCGCAAGATCCTTATTCCTCTCTGGGAGGGATAAGAGTTAGCCTGGTATAGATGATATAGAATAAGACAGAGAATATCTTATTGCCTCTTTATAAAACCATGGTTCACCCACAGCTTGAGTACTGTGTACAGATGCGGTCGCATCATCTCAAAAAAGATTTATTGGCATTGGAAAAGGTTCAGAAAATGGCAATAAAAATGATTAGGGTTTTGGAACGGGTCCCATATGAAGAGAGGTTAAAAAGACTTGGACTTTTCAACCAACTTAGGAAAGAGGAGACTGAGGGGGGATTTGATAGAGGTCTATAAACTCATGACTGGTGTGGAAAAAGCAAATAAGGAAAAGTGATTTACTTATTCCCACAATATAAGAACTAGGGGTCACCAAATGAAATTAATAGGCTGCAGATTTAAAACAAACAAAAGCAAGTTTTTCTTCACTCGGCGCACAGTCAGCCTTTGGAACTCCTTGCCAGAGGATGTAGTGAAGACTAGGACTTTAACAGGATTCAAAAAAGAGCTAGATAGATTCATGGAGGTTAGGTCCATCAATGGCTATGAGCCAGGATTGGTAGGAATGGTGTCCCTAGCCTTTGTTTGTCTGGAAATGGGTGACAGGAGAGGGATCATGTGATGATTATCTGTTGTGTTCCCTCTCTCTGGGGCATTGGCTACTGTCAGCAGGCAGGATAGTGAGCTAGATGGACTTTTGGTCTGACCCAGTATGGCTATTCTTATGTTCTTATGTACCCTTCATTTGCATAATGGCGGCCGCACATTCTTTCGAAAAAGGGCTTTTCGAAAGTGAAACAGCCATCTAGACTAGCAGTACAGGATCTTTCGAAAAAGGGTTGTTGTTGGTTTGTTTGTTTTTTAGAGAACTGTGTCTAAACAGTAGTTTCACTTTCGAAAAGCCCTTGTTCGGAATAACGTGCGGCCGCCATCATGCAAATGAAGTGCGGGAAATTCAAATCCCGGCTTCATTTGCAATTTCAATCTGTCTAATTTACATCCCTTTTTCAAAAGAGGGATGTAGTCTAGACGTGCCCTGATAGTATAACTTTCACAAAATAAAATTTAGGCTGGACGTTAATTCTGTTAAGCCACTTTAGTTGATATATGTGCTCTCTTCCCAGACTTCTTAAAGAGGAAGAAATCAGTTCTATCAAACTATGTCTAATAAATCACACTTTCGCCTGTTCTAAAATAAAGAACAAACATTGAGGGAGAATCTAAACCCCTTGTGAACAACTGAGCCATGAATGTAAAGGATATCAGTTTCTGAAGAGCAAATCCTTTACCAACTAGAATAGTTTTAACTTGAAAGGTGATAAAGCATTTGAGACAGTGCCTTATGAAATGTTTAATTTAAATTGTTATGTATTTGAACTTTGTGGTGTAGACTGAAAACTAGTTGAAGGATCTTAAAGGATAATGATAAATTGCACTGAATCTAATCAAAGGCTGAATGGGGATATGATTGCTGACTATGAATGCATCAGAGGGTAACAGCAGAGAGGGAGAATAGCTGTTGAAGATAAATGACAATGTTTGTACAAGAACAAATGGATATAAATTCACCATGAATTAATTTAGACTAGAAATTAGAAGATGATTTCACCAGAAGAGTGAGATTCTGAAACAGCTTCCCAATAGGAATAGTGGGGCAAAAAACCTATAGGTTTAAAATGGAGTTTGATTAATAGGATTGTATTGTGGGTTTTCCTGTGGTAGCAATGAACTGGACTTGATGTCCCAGGAGAGGTCCTTTCCTCACCTGTGTTTCTATATTCAGTCTCTTTAATGGAGCTAAATACTTTTCTTTGATCTAAACCTTTTGCAATTTGCGATACTAAGTATTTCATATTTTAATTGCAAGCCTTTTTTTATGATTTTACTTTGAAATAGGAACACAAGCAACATATACTCGTCCAACGGTAAGCCCTTCCATAGGGGCTCGAATGGCTGGAACTCCAGGTGCTGCCACTTATGTGAAAACTACCAGTGGCAGCATCATTACGGTAGTGCCGAAATCGCTGGCTACACTGGGAGGCAAGATTATAAGCAGTAATATTGTTTCTGGTAGGTGTATTGATAAAAAACCTTTACTGAGATACAAAACTTCTGAAGACACTCAGAGATATATTAGGTCTCACATTAAATTTCTCTCTGGGTGCACAGACAAGGTTTGTTATATGTTTGAAAATATTTTTTGTGTTTAGAACCAATTTTTTGAAAAGTTATTCTCCTTTATGCATGTCAGAAATGGCTGATTGATAAGAGAGGAATGAGAAAGAAAGACAAGATGTTGAATGGGAGAAGATATTGTCGTAGGTTAGGGCACGCCTAAAATTTAAGAAGGAAGCAAATTCTTAGCATCATAATGTAAAAGGAGCCTGGGAAATGAGAAGAAATATGGATGAGTGGAAAAATGATTGGTATGATTGTAGAAGATAGGAAGGATTAAATCAGTTATCAGTTTCCTTGAAAATTAGGATGGAATAAAAATATTAGGGTTTTTTTAGCCTGCAGAGAGCATCTCTGCAGTGTTATTGATAAGACTTCTCGATCTAGTGGAGGTTTCATAGAAATGGCATATGCATGAATGTCTTTGCATACCAATCTGTGCACCTGAGATCAGTAGTTGGCCTTTATTTCAAGGGAATGTAGTATGATGTGTTTAAAACAATGCAGGATTTGAGCAGAGCTTCTAAGTAATCTTTCCACTCAGTGAAGTATTCATAAAGGGTTCATAACAAGTTACAACTGGGAGAATTATTTCCTTTTCTCAAAATTGGTTCAAAATTAAATGTATTTTTAAATTTCAAATGTGTTATGAAATAGCTGCCAGACATCAATGATGGGTTGAAGTTGATGACCAAGATTTTTTGTTGGCACTTGAGCTGCTAGGTATAATCTCATTACAGATAATAGGAACTATAATGGGCAGATTGATACCACTGGTGACTTGTATGTTCTGTTAGCCATTGTGAGGATTGGTTCAGAAGGGTCGTAAATAAACAAGAAACCACGAAAGACAAGTAGTTATATGGTAGAAGGGAAGAACAGCAAGTTTATCGGTAGAAAAATGTCATCTGAACTTTGGACTTCAAAAGGAAAGAGGATTTTTTTTAAAATAATGTTGTGAAAGAAACCAGAAAATTGTCTTATAATTCAACTAACAGAATTCTATATTCCCACACATTAGCTATAAAAGAAATCTGGCATCTCTTTATGGAAATAGTGATAAATATCGTGTTAATGTGTTCTCAGCATATGAACAGTTTTTTATCAAATGGGAAACCTCCCTTTTATAAGATATAAATTCTCAAGATTTTTCTCTTGCAAAGTCTGGTGCAGGTTACAAACCATAAATCAAGCAATTCCATCTTTATTTCTCATTGAAGTAATTTACTTGATAGACATCTTCCTTTTAGCACAGGGGTGCCCATAATTTGCAATCCTGAAGGCCAGAGATAATCTGTACATTTGCACAATATCTCAAAGATAAGTGCATTCAACCATAATATTTGTACCTGTACCTTCCATGACAGCTTTTCAGAAATTGCCCTTTGGTTTGTGTTGGCCATAAAAACTGTTGAGCTCTGTTCTTCCCATATAACATCTGTTGCTGATGTGCACCCTACATGCTTGACTTCAGGCCAGGCATTAAATGTCCTCTCTTCAGCCAAGTTTTTTCAGTTGCATTTAAACCTGCCATGATGTTAGGATTATTTTTAGGGCTTCTGTTTTTGAGAATTTTATCAATTTCATTTTTCAGGGTTTATGTTTAGCAATTTTCAAGTATTTTTCCCCAAATCAGGGAGACTGGGGACTTGCTATTTGTACACATGTAACGAGTAGTGAATCTTTGTAATGTCCACTAGCGTACTTTAACATAGTAGCACTGTATTTAAACACATTGAAAAACCTTTAATGGACACCAGTAGGGTCTACATGGACCATATAACGAACACCATATTAACATGCTTTAGAAGTCATATCCCTTATATAGGACAAGTTGTTACATACCCCATTTCTGGAGTTTTTCCTGTGTTTATTGGATAAACACTTCTTTGCCTCTTTATTTTTTTTGTATCCAGAGTGTTTACTAGTTAAAACTGAAAATCAGGAGCCATACTTATCATCTTTATGCTGGACTCAATGGATTTTTATAAAGATTCTAGAGTTATATGAAATATATACATAAAATAACAGTATCATCACTTTTAACCAAGGCCTCTCTCTTCCCACTTGCTTTAAGGAACTACAACCAAAATTACTACAATCCCAATGACATCCAAGCCTAATGTGATTGTGGTGCAAAAGACTACTGGAAAAGGAACAACTATTCAAGGACTTCCAGGCAAAAATGTTGTTACAACATTGTTAAATGCCGGGGTAAGCAAAAGTGTTAAGTTTAAAATCCATAAACAAATGAAGGGTATGCATTGCTTTCTGCCATCCTCTGTTTGTTATGAACTTAGTTCCTAGAAGAACTCCCAGTAGCTGTCTAGTAGATACAACGTGGGCCTAGGTCAGGGATGATTGAAGGGCAAGTATGCTCTGTGGGACTAAAGTAGTTAACACAAAGGGGGCTCAAAATGGCCTGTTAAAGTTGGTTAAAGCCTCATATCTTCTCCTTCTTTGTGTTCCCTGTCCAGCTGTCTGACAGAGACTGTCTGATCCATAAAGGGTGGAGCCATACAAAATGACTGGGTTCTTATACCAGTTCTTTTAATGTGAGAATGGGATTCTCTCATCCAGTGTGAAGGGAGGGGCCTTTTTCAAATGTTCTGCATATATAACATAGTTTGTAAAATTTTATATCCATCTGTAGATCTGTTAGAAGGGTACACATAACTTAGATTTTCAGGGCAATCCTGAATTAGGATGAAAAGCTGATTGGCCTGGTGGTGGGGGAGAGCACGTGAAGCCTCCTCCCGCCCTCTGAGGAGCATGTGGCACTTTGAAGTGCCATGTGCTCCTCGTAGGGCATGGGAGAGGGAGGACAAGAGCAGAAGAAACTTCATGCAGCTCCCCCGCCCCCTGGCCAATCAGGGCTTGGGGCGGGGGAGCGTATGCTATCTCCTCCCGCTTTGCAAGGAGTGTGTAGCACTTTGAAGTGCTGTGTGTTCCTCGCAGGACAGGAGGAAATTTCATTAAGGCCTGTGCCGGGGGAGTAGCAGGGGTTCTGCGGGCCGGATCAACCCACGAAGGCCATTTTGCCCACCTCTGGTCTAAGACATCACTACTGACTAAGAGCAACTCTTAAAAATTTTGAGTATAACTTTAAATATCTTGTACAATTCTACTTTCCTAGAGGAAGTTTTTCTTAAAACCACATAAACTCTTGCCAGTCTTTCCATTGTCGTCGTCTTCTTTATATAGTAAGGTTAAATGAGTAGGTATTTTTGTGTTTGGGTTTTGAATTTACTACTTATTAAATATACCTACTCCTTGAAACCAACCTGATGATGAAAGGAATTGGTTGACGTATCACACGGATATGATATGGATACAGCCAAGGTACTGAATCTTATATGAACTTCATATATGTTTAGATAAGTGTTCTATATTACTGAAAAAATTACATTGCAAGTTAACGTGTACATTTTGCTTTTACTTCAGGGAGAGAAAACTATTCAAGCAGTGCCAGCAGGAGCAAAACCTGCCATCATCACTGCAACCCGGCCCATCACAAAAATGATTGTCACGCAGCCAAAAGGAATAGGATCTGCTGTCCAGCCAGCCACCAAAATCATCCCAACCAAAATTGTTTATGGGCAACAAGGCAAAACACAGGTACAGAAAGGACTCCTTAATTAATTTTTGTTTTTCTGTATTTAAATCGTTGCTCTATGATGGACCTGGGGATGAAGGGTGCAGTATGCAGGCTTCCCCAGGGAGAGAGAACTACCCATGCCTCTCTCACTGCAGCAGGTTGGGGCCAGGTGAGAAGTGCCTCTCTATGGCCACTGCATCTCCAGCAGGCACTGCCAGGGAAGTGGTATATGTCCCCAGCTGCAGCAGATCCAGGTTTGTCTGCCCATGCACTCCCCAGCCATATTGAGGAATAGAGCAAACTGTGCACTTCTACTCTCTCCCTGAGGAAGGGGAACAGCCAGCAATATTCCCGTACAAATCAGTGTAGTGGGGAGTTGCAGCCCCACCCTCCCTCAAGGCCCGTGGGGGATGAGAGGCTCGGGGATGGGGCAGTCCCAGATGGGTGGGGGTACCGCTAGCCAGCTCCTTTCACCTGTCTGGTGATTCTTTCCTTTTTCTGTATGATTTTATGCTTCCTTGTACGAATCAGGGGCGAGGTGGGGTGGAAACTTCAGCTCCGTTCTCCCCTCCCCACAACCAAACCCTTACCTTGCATAGCAAACGTGGTTGTCCTAGCTCTTACTGTTTAGTAGGAATTATTTTTATGCATCCCTATACAAACACCCACTTCCCCTTCCCACGCACGACCAAACCCTTATCTTGCTGTAAGGTATGATAAGAGGAAACTGTACAAATTGTGGTGGTCCTAGCTCATACTGTTTTAGGAGGAGTTCTTGAAGAGATTCAGATAGACACACGTGCAAACTCTGTCAAATACAGTAGATACTTAGATTTCTGTAAAAAGAGAAACAGATCTTCAAGGTGTTAACAGTGCTTTATACTTCAGAGCTTTTGATGAAAGAATGAAATTGATTGGTTATAGTAACGTGTATCTTATGTACTTCATGAAGTAGGTCTCTGCCTGAAGCCTAATGTAGATTGGTAGTTTGTGCTCCATTAATACTGAGTATAGATGTGTGTAAGCACATTGCTTTCCAGGGGACGAAGCCCAGGCCCTGGCCTCAAAGGTGAGAGTTGTATTTGTAAAACTCAAGCGGAATATTTTAAGATTGAAGAATTCAGGAAGATTTATACAGTTGATTTATACAGTTTGTTCTGTGCAACAAAGGTCCCCAAAAGCACATAAGGTCTGAAGCTATAATGAGGAGGAGAGAGGATTACAGGTATGGAAGGGAAGGTTATTCCATATGAGGAGCAATTGAAAGGACTGAGATATAGCTATGTGGTAGAAATTTATAGAGAAGGCCAGTCAGGCACTATTCATTGTTCTATTTTGCATGATGAAATTAAAAGGAACACATTTTAAACATTAAAGGACATACTTCTTAGTCAATCTGTTGTTAGCCTGTGGAATTTACTACTTCAGAGTAAAAAGTCTGGGAGCTAGTTTTCGTGTGACTTCAAAAACAGGTAAGTCTTGTGGCACCTTAGAGGCTAACAAATATATACTCATGAGCTTTCATGGATAAAACCCTCTTCATCAGATGAATTGGAGTGGAAATAAAAGTAGTTACCTGTCAATTTTAGGACCCATGTAAGTGAAGCTAATTAAGTAGGCTGGATGTGTTCCATTCATAGCTCTTGATATGAAAATGTGAATGTCAAAGGTGGGGAAAATTGGCTTAGTAATGCGTTAACCAGTTAATATCTTTATTCAAGACTAGGTTGACAGTGTCATATTTATAAATGAATTCCAGTTCAGCAATCTCTCTCTGTAATTGGGTGGTAAAATTCCTTTGTAGAATTCCGGTGATCATATATATCTATTAGTCTCTAACCTGCCACAGGACTACTCGTTGTTACTTCAGAATTGTAAGGCAAATCATATATGGCTAAAATGGCATGTGTAAGATTATAGAATAAAAATCACCTCATTCTTCAGAGCTACTTGTATTCCTGAAGGGAAGCTACTGTTTTCAGCTGTAGCCTAAAGAAAATACATAACAGGGCTTGGACCCATGAAAGATGGGAGGAATCCCTCCATAATCTGACAACCTGAAGGAGAAGGAAGAAGCAGAGAGGAACATGCTCCTTGGAGTGACTTCGAAGCATCTGGCATCAACAGGATATCAAATTAGACTGTTAGTTCTGATACTGAAATTCTTATTTTCCTTTTGTCTGCCAGAGCCTGTTCAAAACAATCAGTTATGATGGTTAGACATAGGGATTTATGGCACCTATCTTCACAGTATATAAAATAGTTTTATACTTTTTTGTTATTTTTATTTATGAATTTAGTGGTCATAAAATTGATGGCTTAATAGCTGTGGCTTGAGCCATGTACAAAATAGGCAGGGTCCTTGCAAGCTTCAATACTTATAAAGAATTGTAGTCCTGACTCCTGCAGATCTGATCCTCGTGTCACTGAGTACAGATTGACAACTGTAGTAAATAGCCATGTAATATGGTCACTAGGTGCCTGAGCTTTTAAGAGCATACTCTAATTTTAGGCATAAATTCTAGGCTGGAGAGTTAAAAGGCTAGTATGTTAGCCCTCTGCCCCCTATGTTATTGAATTCTGGGCACTCCAGGTTTAAACAGAGTTCAAGTTTAATCTTGTATAGATGAAAGAAAGAAAAAGATTCAGGCTTTCAGAATCTTCTGAATCTATCTGAAGTGGTCAGTACTAGAAAAGCCTGTTGTATGTCTAAATAAATTAGTGCCCCATCCCATAAATCACCTGTGAGTTAAACTAATCTTTACTGGATTAGTTCCTTACATTATAATAATCAGTAGCTTGTAACCTTCAGAATAGACCATAAGTTATATAGTTCTTCTTCAAGCAGTGTCCTGTGGGTGCTCCACTGTAGGTGTAGGCTTGTCCCGGCGCTGCAGATCGGAGAACTTTTCTAGACGTAGTCTGCCGGACCGCGCATGGATTATGTAGGGGTTGTATATTCTGCCTTGATTACATATCAAGAGATTGTGTTCAACTGAAGCTCAAGAAACTCTTTGAGAAGGGTCTGGTTCTTTCCTGGGTGCTCTTACTATAAATAAAATGCAGGACTATGTAGCACTTTAAAGACTAACAAGATGGTTTATTAGATGATGAGCTTTCGTGGGCCAGACCCACTTCCTCAGATCAAATAGTGGAAGAAAATTGACACAACCATATATACCAAAGGATACAATTAAAAAAAATGAACACATATGAAAAGGACAAATCACATATCTACCTTTCCCCACCTCTAATATCATTAACTCACAGACACTTACCTTCCTTCCTTCCTTCCCTCCCCTCCCCCCGCATCCCCCTTCTGTTCTGAAATGTGATTTGTCCTTTTCATATGTGTTCATTTTTTTTAATTGTATCCTTTGGTATATATGGTTGTGTCAATTTTCTTCCACTATTTGATCTGAGGAAGTGGGTCTGGCCCACGAAAGCTCATCATCTAATAAACCATCTTGTTAGTCTTTAAAGTGCTACATAGTCCTGCATTTTGCTTCAGCTACACCAGACTAACACGGCTACATTTCTGTTACTACTTACTATAAATAGAGTGATTGTTTTTTCTATTAGGTTCTCATAAAACCAAAGCCAGTGACATTTCAAGCTACGGTTGTGAGTGAGCAGACAAGGCAGTTGGTAACTGAAACATTGCAGCAGGCATCCAGAGTGGCAGAGGCAGGAAATGCTTCTCTTCCAGAAGTGAAAGAAGAACCTCAGAGCTACACTGATAGCAGCTCCTCTTCTACAGAGTCCTCCCAGAGCTCCCAGGGTAAATATAATCACTTGGCTAAGTAATAGGCTTATCACTTGTCTAAGTAATAGGCTTTGATTCCATCTCCAAAAGATGTAAGCTATTTTTATTTAATCTATTGTATCTCTTTATTGTGTTTTAAATGTATGGTTGTCTGCTTAGATGACTGGAGATCAGTCTTCTTAGAATTGCTTCCAAATATTGACTTTTTTGAGTCCTGTAACCTCATGTTTCAATTTCCCTCTCTGAAAAACCTACTTGCAGGGGTTTTGTAGATTAACTTCTGAAAGCATTTTGAAATTTGTTGCTAACATATTCTAGAGAAGTATATAGTACTACTTTAGAAATGTTTTATTTTTCACTTCAAAATCATCAGTTTCCTAAATATAAAATAATTTACTTTAAAAAAATCATACTGTTCGGGGCTTCTAATCCCAGACTAATCTGGGCAATTAGATCTGTGTGCACATGAAAAGAATATATACACAAATATATGTCCTTTAGACAAAGGCAAAATAGTCTGTTTTTATCTGCAAACACCTTTTATTTTTTTCATATGCATAGCTCTCCTCCTCCACTCATCCCTTCAATGTAACTTTTAAAAACTTGTTCTTCTCTTAGTAGTATCTCTGTGGGTGTTTCACTTCAGGGGCACCTGTGCCTGGTACCTTAGATGGGAGATTTTTGGTGGCTGTGCCCAGTGGACCCACCCATGTGCCCCACACTTGTTTATGCTCTATACTAATGCTATCTAAAGCTGCAAAGGCAAATTGTCCTCAGTTCCTTCTTAACCGCAGTCAACATGAGATGGTGGTTATGATAGAGGCAGCAATACAGGGTGGCAGGAAGCTCCCTGGGAGTGAGGCCGGATTACACTGGCTTCTGGTCCCATCCCCGGAGACTTTAGAATAGTTGAGTAACCACTAAGAATTCATGCTATCTAACATCCCTAGTCAGTGTCTGGCATTCCCAGTGCCTTTACTGTTTGTGTGTTGCTCATGTCACTAGTATGTGCAAAATCTGCACTTCCTTCAGTGGTGGATTCCCAAAAAATTGGGAAACCAATTTTAGACTTCTGTTCATGGAGCAATCTTTATGACTAGTTTTGTATCCAGGGATACTAGGTACATAGACCACTTGGTGTATCACTATTGCCATATCCACATCTATATCTTGGTCACCTGAGATAAGCTTCAGTATCTGCCTCTAAGCAGAAGGAGGCGAGGAGTATATCTCCAAGAAAGCCTGTTGCCAACACATAATCTGACTACAGAGATCTCAGGTTTCAAGAAATGTTCCATCCAATGAAGCCTGTATCACAAAGGCGAAGAGGAGTCAGTCATGTAAGCCAAAGTCAATACTGTGTTCCCTAGGGTGGCAGAGATGCAGCTGAAAAAAGGCTAAGCCCATCTCCGAATAACAATAGGTACGGGTAACTAGAAAGTGAATGGTAGCCAGGAATGCTTATATACCTACAGTTTACAGATTGAGGCTACTCAATCCCACACCAAGCACTTGGTGCCAATTACATTGGTACTGAATCCATACTGCATAGATTCTCACTCAACCCAGTCTTTGATACCTTTAGACCGGCCAAAATTTAGTCTCCTCTGTTAATGAATGGACTGTATCAGCCTCAAGATACTCTTGGTCACTGATTCTTTTTATCTGGCCTACTTTGAACAGCTATTCCCCTCCCCCCTTTCCCTTGGCACATGTAAGATCTCAGACTCTCACATAGTCATCAGGATTCCCATAGGTATTTTAGGTCACATTGCTCTCCCTCCTGCACTGTCACATTACAGGAGGATAGATCTCAAATGATACACCCATGGTGGGAACACAGATAAATGCCTCTACCTATGCCATGTGGCTCCTCTCAATGGCCTTGCTGGGATCTATAGGCATTCTGTCATTGACAATTTGCAACTAAGTCTCCATACTGCTGGAGGAACACTCTTCAGTATCCGCTATCATTACCTATGTCAAAGAAGGAGATGTTGGAGGAGCAAGAAACAAGGGTGGATAAAGAGGTGTCACATCTTACTAACATTGCTTCCTTATCATCTAATGAAACTTTGATGCCTCCACCATCTTCAATGGCTGATGACTTAAGGCAGTTTCAAGAACTGATGAAGCAAATTCTTGCTACACATTCCCTTAGAGGAGGTTCAGAAGTCCAACTGTAAACTCCTAGATCTTTTACACATACATCTTCACACACATGAAGATTGCCATTCTGGTCAAGAAAGCTCTTATGGAGTGTGCTAAGACTGGCAAACCATAAAATTTGGAAGCCATAACTTCTGGTTACACTATCCATTTCAACTCTATCTGTCTTACCCATTTCCCCTCCACGTTGCTCTTCAGGGACCTTTCTCGTGATCAGTTATTGGTTTAAGAGGCTGCCTCACTTCTATGTTTAGGAACACTAAAATCAGTTCCTATACAGCGTAGGGGAATGGTGATTCCTCCAGCAATCGTTCCTTTCTTAGAATTAGGAGATTAGTTCATGACTATTAGTCTGCAAGACTCATATGTATCAATTTATCCTTTACACAAAATTTTGTTTGTTTTCTAATAAACAGTGAGCACTACCAATACAAGCTGCTCCCTTTCAACCTATCTTCTGCCCCAAAGTCCTTCTCAAAGACTCTGGCATTAGTTGTCAATTGGTTATTATAGTTTTCCAGAATCTGGAAGATTAGTTGATCCTGGGTAGATTGTATCATGAAATGTTGATAACACTGCAGATACGTTCTTTTTCACAGCCTGGGCCTTCAAATAAATCTCACAATCCATTTTGACTCAATCTAAACATTATAGGAGTTTCCTTGGATTCACTGACAGGCAGAGTGTATTTTCTCCCCAGTAGTGAATCTCCTCTCAAGGAATCTGAGCTGTTCTTAAACAATAAAATATTGTCTTCAACTGTTGGGACACGTCAGCTTGCATCTTCATAGAGCAGGCATGCTAGGTTACATCTTGAGATCTGTATGGATGGCTTTAAATGGTTTACAAACTGAGAAAGCACCGTCTAAGCAGATAGTTGTCTGTTTCCCAGTGTTTTCTACAGACACTCAACTGGTGGAAAGCCCTGATGAAAATCTGTGCAGTTGTGACTTTCTTCCAGAATCTCCCTCTTGTAGAGAGGACATAAGACACTTTATTTTGGAGTTGGGGGATATATCTAAAACCTTACAAGATCAGGGCAGATTGCTACTACGACTCAGTGGTCTGGAATTGAGACTAGTCAAAAATGTTTGCCTGAGCTTTTTTTAACCTTTAAACAGATCAAATCAATGAAGATAATGACAGTGTTTTACGAATTTATATCAATGCCCAGGAAACAGCAGAGACTCTTCCCCATCTTCCAGTGCCAGAGCAATAAAACTCTGAAATTGGTGCATAGTCAAACTGATAATCATCTCAGCTTCATATCTCTGCCAGATACTAGAACATCAAAAAACCCTAAAAAACCCACAAATAGTCTAGTACCACCTTAAAGACTAACAGAACATGTAGATGGTATCATGAGCTTTCGTGGGCACTACCCACTTCTTCAGATGACAGGAGTGTTGGAAGTCCAGATTAAAAAATAAATAAGGGGGGGGGGAGGAAAGAGACAGTGAGTAGATAAGCTTCAGAGGGATAGCCGAGCTAGTCTGTAACAGGAAAAACATTAAAAAAACAACAGTCTAGTAGCACCTAAAGACTAAATAGTTACAAGAAGCTGATAAGAACCATTAGTTTGCACTTGGAAAGGAAGATGACCAACACCAGATACTACACCAGACAATCTCAGCAGCAATTTCTTTCTAAATTATAGTGGGAACAGAACTCTCAAGTTCTCCTCAAGATATTCTTAACTTGGGGGTTCCCGGAGGTCAATCTGTTTGCCACAATGGCCAACACAAAGTCCATCAGTTATCAGTCCAGAGGTAGTCTTGATTCCCCCCGTCCCTAGAAGATGCTTTTTTCATCTCATATACGCATATCCAAAAACACCATTACTTGTAAAAGTTCTCAACAAGATCAGGCCAGTATCCTATTCAGTGCACCAGTGTGGCCAAGACAAGTTTAGAAAAGAATTACAAGAAACTTTACCTTCAGAAATAGATATATTGTTGTCTTTGTAGCAGTTTTTAGATTTCATTTTCTTCCCAGTATTGGATTACCTGTTGAAATTGTAAATATTGGGTGTTTTCATGAATTCCATTAGGACACCTTTAATGGCAATAATAGTTTTTCGCAAACCAATAGGGGATATTTTGCTCTTTGATCACCCAGCTAGAGGTTTGT